AGCAGGAATCTTCTCCATAGAGTCCTGATTACTGAAAGATCAAGACTTACTGATGACCTTGTTTTTAAAAAGTTAGAAAATTAAAGGAACAATATGGAAATAAGAGGACTAGAGAAAGTGCTGTCTAGTGAAGGGCAGAGATTTTCTTTGTTTAGTGTAAGTAGAAAAAACTTAGGTGACTGTAGCACAGTTTGTTTAGATACTATTTTTGGGAAGAGTGACAGCTAGAAAGATTGCTTAATGGGGAAAAAAATAAAGGAACAAGTAACGGCAGGAAGTTGAGCAACAAATTCAGAGGATAAATCACTTTTTATCACTGACAGTTTTCTTCTAATAGCTGTTATAATTAGAAATGGTGATTTTTCTGTTTTCTAGTGCATCTAGATCAGCAATATCTGTCATCTGAAAACTATGAATTAGCCAGATGTACAGTATTACAGTCAAACAGTTTGAGGTTGAATGCAGACATCACTGCAGGAAATACAACAGCCTGTGCTGTCCAAGTTAAATTATTTAAAAGTCACATTAAAATTAAGTTGTGGGAACCAAGGTGTAAAACAACTATGCCATTTCTTTTACTGTTATGTCCCATTTTTCCTTGCTTTTCCAGAATAATATTTTTATTCTTAATTTTTATTTTATTCCTAATTTCTGCATCAGGCCCACAATTACAGATATGGACAGAAAACCTCTGGAGTTTTGGGGGTCTGCTCTTAGGTATGTTTTTGGCTGCATCTTGTCACATTCTTTCAGTGACAGTTATGTTAGGGCATCTACAGTTGTAAAGTTGGGGTTTTTTTGGTCCAGGAGAGGAAGACACTTATTCTGAAGCAGCAGAATTGAGTTCAAGAGAAAGCTGGACAACTCATGTGCAAGAAACAAAACTCTTCTGGGGGGACAGAGCAGTAAATATGTATTGTGCAGCAATATAAGCAATATATAATAATATAAGGTGGGGAGAAAACTTTTCATAGAATATCTTACTCTTTATAAGGCAATCTGATTATTCAGATTAAGTAATGGGGTTATCAACTGCTTGCCTTACAACATTTAAATAAACATTAACCTGATGAACTTTCAAAATCTCTTTAAAAATAATTTTTTTAAAACTACTTCTAATAATGGCTTTTTAAGTGGAGTGACAGTAAGTGCAGTATCTTTCTGATGGATTTGCTTTATCTATAAGAAGGAGTTAATTTGATTTTTGATACTTGATAATTTCTTTGTTTGTCCTGCCAAGCCAGAAGAGCTACAAGAAGGTTAATTGATGTGTTTCCTGTCTTATATATATAAAAAAGACTTTTTTTTTTAAGGGGTTTTTGGGTAATCTGTGTTTTGAAGTCCTAAAACCAATTCATGATGTGCCAAAAAGCTGTGCTACTTGTGGAATTTCAAACGTGTGCTGTATTATAATATATTTTTATGGAGGAAGTGAAGGGGAGAGAATTAAATCGGTGCTGTGCATTTTCAGTTCTGTGGTATTGCAGTAGGGATAAGCAGGAAGACATGCATAAACACTTAACCCTTGTTCCATGTGTCAATTCTGTGAAGCAGTTAAAAATGCTTGGCAGATAACAATGGTTTTTATTAGGGACTTCCATTGTGTAATATGGATAAAAATTGAGCAAGGTTGGAAACAGAAATGAAGCTGGAGATAGAAGAAATACACTAAGAAATGCATAGTATTTCATGCTACGTGCTGACTGTATGTGAAAGGTCTAGTCTTGTTCCATTAATCCATTAGTTGCTATAGTAGTTAGCAGTTACTAAAAAATACTTGAATGCTTTTATTTTCAGCCCCAAAACTGGTTTTAATTGTCAGATGCATTTCTTTGCAACATTTTATTTAGTTATGCTGTCTTTTGAAACCCTTCTAACAAAAAGGAAATATTTTTAAAATTTCACAGTACTTGTAAAAGCTGCCTCTAAAAGTTCAAAGAGCATGTGAACAGACAAATTTCATTAAATTAATTCAGGCTCAGGGAAGGACTGGAAGTAGTGGTTTTGGACAAGGTTCTTTTAATATGAATGTTAAGTTCAGCCAGTTGAATGTTTTGGGGTTTTCTCTTGTTTATTAAATTGGTTCTTTAAAGAAGGAAAAGCTCTGGGAATAGTAATAGTAAACCATTTGGTGATCAATGTGACTTCAAAGTGTTGCTTGCTCAGGAAAAAATAAAGTATGTTGTGTAATGGGAAGGAAAATCATTAACATTTATTACGCTCAGCTGCTTCATCTATTTTTATTTCTTAAAAAATCATACTAGCCTACTAATGTCTCCCACAATTTTTATTTAGGCATTATATTTTACATAGTGAAATGTTGTATAGAGCTGCTGCATGTTGTCTGCAGACTTCTGCATTTTGTCTCAAGTTCTTGCAATTTCCTTGTTACTGGAGTAGCTTTTATTATATTAGTGAAGAGGATTTGATACAAAATAATTATTATAACTCTGGCAAGACTTTTCATTTCCTAAATACATTTTAGGGAGTTACCCCTAGAAAGGAATGATTCGAGTGTCATCCATTTTCAGTGCTGAAAGTTAGTATTGTTATATTCCAGCAATCTGCTATGAAACTTAGTTCAAAATTGTGAAGTACATGAGTCCTTCAGAAGGAAAAGAATACCAAGATCTTTACAAATTTTATTGGATTGTATGAGAAGGCAAGGATTCTTTTTAAGTAGTTTGTCACAGTGATAGATGAGAGACATACAGAAATTATTTAAAACTGTTTTCTAACAGGATATTCTGAATTAATCTAATTTGATTGTGAATAATGGGAGGTTTACGTTTATAATACTTTACATTTAGAATATTTGGATGGCTATATAAATAGACCTGATGTATTCTGTAGCCTGAATCTTGTGTTCTGTAATACTGCATATGGTTGAGGTACAGGTAAATGTTAACTAACCTATTACTTTTTTCTCCCCCAGATTCCTCCTAATAAAATAGATTATGAATATAGTGAGCTGATTTTATATCAAAATCAAGTGATGAGAGAGGCAGACCTATTTCAGGAGTCTTTAGAACATATAGAAACATATGAAAAGCAAATATGTGATAAATTAATAGTAGAAGAAATCAAAGGTAAGTAGTACTTCTTCCTTCAGTCAATTTTGTTTAAACTGGTCCTACTGAGTTTCAGATACGATAAAGCAGTAAAATAAGGTGTTAAATCTTTAATTTATTTGAACCAATTACTATAGGGAAACTGGGAACACCAGATTTACAATTTAGTGCTCAAGTAGCTTGCCCTACCGAAGTGAATATGGGATGTAGGTTAAGTTGGGTTGACACAGGAACAAAGGACATCTCAGATTATTAAATTGGTGCATATTAGAGTAGCTTTCTATAAATCAGAGCTAGTATAACCCAGTTCTAATACAGTGAGGGAGAATCTCATGAAGAATACTGTTTGTAGTACAAACACTGATGTTTTGGGCTTTTTTGTACCAGAGTGTCAAACTCTTGTTTTCTTTCTTAAGCTTTCTAATACATTTACTTGTATTGCTCCATTTAAGTAAACAATGAAGTTGGAATTTTTTATTTAAAAATAACCCACAGTTGTTTTGTGGATTCGAGTTCTGGATATGCACAATTATGTGGTGTAATAGCATGTATTCTTCAGCTGCTCCTTGCTTGCACAATTGTAGGGGGTTGACCCTGGCCAGCAGGTAAGCCCCACATAGCTGCTCACTTGCTTCCCCCAGCTGTCCTTGTCAGGACAGGAGAGAGAGTAGGAAGAGCAAAAGCAAAGCAAACTTAAGTGTTAAGGTAAAGATGGCTGAAGTGAAGGAGGGAGAGAGGAAAAAAGCTTCACAACCTAGATCCCTAGGTGACACAAAGGCAATCACTTGCCACCTCCCACAAGCAGGCTGATGCTCAGCTAATCTCCAAGCAATGCCTGCCTGCCCAAACACTCCTTCCTCTCAATTTTTATTACTGAGCATGACACTAGATAGAATAAAATATCCCTTTGGCTGATTTGAGTCGGCTGTCCAAGTTGTGTCCATTCCCAACATACAGTCCTGCTTGGTGGGGTGTCAGAGTGGGGGTAAAAAGGGAGCCTTGGTGCTCTACAAATACTGCTTACCAGTGGTGAAAACATCTGTGTATTATCAATGCTTAGTCACAGACCCTGGAACACAGCACTGTAAGGGTTGCTGTGAAGAAAATTACTTCCATGCAAGCCAGACCCTGTAGAATGATTTACCTAGTAGCAAATCAGTGTGATTTAACTAGTTAAAAACTGATTAGTTGGTGTGAAAAATACAGGTGTAGTTAAGTAAACAGCCTGATAATAAGCGACATTGTTATGGGTTGGGAGTCCTGGAAGGAAAAGTTGCTTGTTTCTTTGTTAATCCCAATAGCTATTCTAAACAGTCAGTTACAGATGCTAAAATAATCTTTGATTTCACAGATGCTGAGTGCTCCAAACTGTGCTGAGCTATATCTGTGGTAGCTTCAAGTAGCACTTATAATCCAGTCTTTTTAAGTATCTATTATGGTTAAGCCAAATTTTACATATCTAGTTTTGTTATCTTTATTCCCAAGGCATTAGTGTTTTCTGATGTAATTCACAGTTCTTTGCTGTGTTGTTTTTAGGAGAGATGTTACTGAAGTTGGGAAGATTGAAAGAAGCTGGTGAGGTATACAAAGAGTTAATTGAGCGCAATGCAGAAAACTGGTGTTACTATGAAGGTTTGGAAAAGGCCCTACAACCCAGTAAGTTAAGATATAGAGGTACATTAAAAGTACTTATGATGTTGGATATACTTAAAACTCCTGTTTCATATGTTACGGGTTTAGATTTAAAAGTTTTACTCGACAGAAAATTATATATCTCCTAATCTTGAATATGATATAGTTGCGTTTATCCATTTTAAAAGTGTGCACTGAAAAACTTGTATGCATGAAAATACCAACAGCAAGTCTTTTCTCTTCTTGGAGCTAAAGGTGGCATTTGCTAAATGTGTTTACACAAAGAACATTTCCTTGCCACATGTGAACTTGGAAACCAAACTGCGATTCCTTCCTATCTGGTAGTTGATTGTCAGACTACTGTTGTACACCATGGCATAACATTGTCATTTGGAAACTTGTTTAGGTGGTACCTCTTTCTTCTACAGGCATGTGGATAAATACTCAAATGTGTTTTTCAGCTGGCCTTTTAAAGATAGGTCATCTGAAAAAAAAATCTCTTTTTTAAGCTAACTGGTCTTTGGAGGAGAGGGTGGTATATTTGATAAAACCTTTTTTTCCAATGCTAGTTCACATCACGGCTCTTCTGTCTTTCCAGGAAAATCACTATTGTTTTAAAATTAAAATATTGCAACAATACATATTGATAAGTGTTCTGCAGTGGTAACATTCCCAAATGTTTACCTTTACACAGGCATGATTTCCTTCTATTTCACTGTTTGATAATTAGTGGAAGTTTTATGGAAGTTATTCTGATGACATCATAAATCATAAGCCCACAAGGATATAATTAGTAGATATTACAGCTGCATTATATTTCTCAACCAGCTGTCCTCTAGGAAGTTTTACAGTTGGGTTTCAAATGGTCTGGGAATATGGCTTGTGATTGGGAAATGAAAATGTGTTTATTAATTTATGCAGGGAGTAGTGTTACCTTTTGAATGGTTTTCTTAATGTATCCATGTAGTTGAGAATCATGATTTGTCTCAGAAAATAAATTACTTAAGAACTTGATGACTCAGTTTGCTGTAAGTAATATAATGATGAAAATATGTAGTTTGTAACAAAAAAATGCAGTAGTTTATTTGACATTAAAATCCTATGTAGATTAAAACTGTACTAATTTATAAAACTAATAATGCTACTTTATTTTTTAGGTGGTCTTAGGACTATTTCCTCCCCCATGGTAAGTTCTGGAGCTCCAACTTGTGACTTCAATTAGGGGTTTTATATGCTTTAGTTCCAATCCAAACATGATTTTAGTATAACTCTTAGAACTGTACATTTCTTGGAGCCACTGGGTAACATATTCCCCCCTCTTCCCCAACATCTGAGCTCAGTGACAAAATATTTTTTTTCTTAATAAAGGAAAACAGATATGCTCATGAAATACATGTTGTGTCATAATCTTGATCTGTACATTCTGTTTTATTTAAATTGCTAGATTAATAATATTTAAGTGAAATTGATCTTAATAATGTGAAAATGGCATTTCAAAGCAACAGATTAGTTTTATTTAAGTTCTAACCACATTGGAGCTCCAAAGCATATTATGGGGGAAAGGGGAGGAGTGGGAAGAAAATATTTAACAAAAATAAAGCTGCTTAAACATTGAGGTATAGAGTTCTGGTGCTCAGTATGTACACTAGCAGTATTGTGCCCTGTTTTTGCTCCCACCAAAGAACCTGTAATAAAGGCATGCTTGTATAGTATACCTATTTGTATACCTGTTATTTAGAAACACAGTGTATTTCTCTGAATGCTTTAAGTGTCTGAAACAGATGCATAGTGAAAACCAATTAATTGAAACTGTGAATATCAAACTACTATGTGCATGGGTCTGCACAGTTTGTAACTGAAAGAAGCCAAACTTTAGTACTGTTTGAATGTGAAAGGTAATTTTCTTGTTTACCTATTATACCTACAGTGATGAATGCTGGTAGTTGCAGATTGTACATACAGTATGCCTTCTATACACAGTTTTACAGGTTAATGTTTATGATTAACTGGAAAAGTATCTTGATACTTAAATTGTTCCAAATAAACTGTATAAAAAGTCTAGCTAAACTAATTCTCAACACTTAAAAACATTTAGAAGAATAGATGTTTATCTCTGTTACTTATATCTATTATATTTACTGATAATAGGCACTTTAGAAGAGAGGCTTCAGATTTATGAAGAAGTTAGTAAAAGACATCCCAGAGCAGTTTCACCTAGAAGATTACCTTTAAACTTTGTTTCAGGTAACAAGTTGCATATCTGTTCTGTAATAGTTTTTATTTTGTTTTTTCATAAGTTGCATCAGGCTGTTGAATGTGTATTTAATACCTAATTGTACATATACACAAATCAGACATACACATTTCTCTTGCAATAAACAAAACTATTTGTTATGTTTTAGGAGTTGATTGGAAAAGTTCATGAGCTCTAATATGGTGGTATCAACCATGTAATGTTTGTGTAGATAAAACTTCAGTACAGAATGGTATATAGATTGAAGGAGTTCTTGTATATAATTTTTTCTGCATCATGCAAGTTAAGAATCATAAGTTAGAAGGTTGGGGTGTGATTCCAGAAACAATCATATAATTGGAAGTTATGTCATGCTCCTAAAAATTAGCACTAGAAGAGAAGTTAGAGGGTTCCGTTTATATCAGTCCTTCCTCTAAGCAAGATAATTTTATCTGCACTATTCCTAACACACACCCCATACCTTTAATACACTTAGAATTGTTGTTAATTTGCTTCTTTATAAACACTGAAAACAGGTGTAAATTATGCTTATAAGAATCATAATAGCATGGGACTAATTCTCCTAACAATTTCTGTACCCGCTGATTTACCAGAAAACACCAGATCTTTTTTGTGACTGAGTATGTCTAATGTTTTGTTGCAGAATCATTAGAAGTTGGATCTACAAAATAAATTAACTTTGTGCTGCTAATAAGAATAGGAACAAAAAGCAGGTGTGCAATGTTACATAGCACAAAATACTTTATTTTTAATTTTTTCAGTGACTTTGGCCTTTCTAAGGTTTCACTGAAATACAGTACACAGATGTCTTCAGTTCTGGAGGGAATATGTATATACTTAATAAAACAGGAAGCTCTGATCTTTCAAAGTAGAAGGAAGGAGACTAAATGAAATGGTAAATCCCATAAAAATATACACTTTATATGTAGCTGTCTAACTGCTGTAACTCCAGTAGAAAACTTTTGGAAGGAAATGTCAAGTACCTAAGTTAAATACCAAGTGTCATTTAAATTAAGTTTAGCTGCAAATTCCCAACATAAATGCTCATGCTTTTAATTTTGTGAGGTTAGATTTTCGTTTAGATCGTTTACTGAGCAATGCATATGTTGTATCTTTAAATGCTAGTCCACTTCACTGTTTTGCTCAGGAGTCTAAATGTGCATACACGTTTCCTCTAAAAAATCACAATATTTTAAATGCTTCCTTAGAGATTTAGCCCTGAACTTGTTAACAGTTGTGCCTTAATCCCTGATTTTTCAGCTTCTTGGCAGATAAAAGGGCAACTAAGGTACTTCAGCTAGCTTTGAAAAACTAGGTGACAAGAAGTTGTTTTTCTCTTGTCATAAAACCATTCATGGTAATGCACAGCAAACAAGGAAACAGCATGCAAAATGCTTTTTTGTATCTTTATTAATATGTTTTGCTGTTGACTTCATTTCACTGTATGTTTTGCACTAGGTTATCTTACCATATCTGACAGTGTAGTTTCACAGCTAATGTTCATTTAATTAGAAATATGTTTGGTAGTAAGGATTAGTTGTTCCTGCTATAGCAATATTGTAAATGAAAGCAAAATTCATTATTAGATCAGTCAAGAAAAGTCTCTCAGTAGACTACTTTCTGCAGTGTTGCATAACAAACAAGAATTTTCCTGAATTAAAACTTTTTTCTGTTACTCCATTAAGCTTGTATCAGTCATGGATATGTAAGACTGGTTTTGATCCTGTAGAAATTAATCTCCTAGTTTTACATCTTTTTACTAAATGATTCCTTTGTGTTTATAAGTACAGCAGATGAGGAATCCTGTTGGGAAAAGTTTAATAGTGGGAATATGAAGGTGTAGAAACAAACTTTTTTGCAGAAATGTATTTGCAGGTTTGAAGAGGATAAACTTTTTGTTTAAAGGAAGTTGCTCTTCCACTGTGATCGCTGACCAGTTATTTGCAACCAACACTGGTTGGTTCAGATTTAGCTCCAAGTACTCTGAAGTACAGGTTTGTATTAAGAGGGCAGCCCTTCCCACACCTGGGTGTCCATCACATTTTAATAATACTGTATTTACTACAGGTCAGCTCCTCCATCTCGAAACCACCTTTATGGAAGAAGACTTACAATTAATTTTCAGACTTGCCAAGGTGGGAGGGATAGGAGTCTGGCCATCCAGTTTAGATTTGTTTATGCTTCTGTAGATTCACTGCTTCTGTGATCAGGTCTACTATATGCCTCAAACTAAATGTTGAGCTTGGCTTTATTTCATAGGGGGTTGCCTAGCCCATAAGTTTTGCATTTTTCAGTTTTCATTTTAAAGCTGTTCTGCTTTCTATAAGCATGTAGTTACTGGAAACTTGAATCTTCCTTTCCTAAATTCTGAATTACAATTCTTCCATCATGAATATAAATTACAGTAATTCAACAGACAAAATTGAGAAACTGAGATTAATTTTTTGGTATATAGGGGAGTTTCTTGTAGTGCAAGAAAACTAGATAACTATATTTACCTGTAATAAAGCATGTGCTTATAGACTAGTTACGGATCCAAAATAGTAGGAGTTTATATATGCAGCAATTTGTTCTAGTACAGCAAGGGAGAAACATGAAATACTTTTAGTCTTAGTAACTGTTGATAACAGTAAATATAGAACAACTAAAAGTTGGGGAAAATACATAAAAATTCATGTTATATACCAAGGAATAGTGTCTTCACTTTCTGCATATCTGTGGAACACTATTAATAAAATCTATTAATGCATTACTACTGAAGTTTATTTCAGTAGTTTTATGTGTATATGTTATCACCATGTGAAGTGTGCTACTTCCTTGTCTAAAAACTTAAAGAAGTCCACAGCAGAGCAGACACTGAGGTGTAGCAACTTCACACTCATGCAAAGCAAACAGAGATAATAAAAAATTTAAAAGAAAAACAGAAATAAAATTGAAATAACTGAAAGCAGCCACATGAAAGAACATGAAAGTCAGCTATTTGCTCTTTAAAGTCCTGATTTATTTTTCTTTGGCAACTTCATTTCTCTGAAAGGTGGCATACTGTGATTTTTACCAAAGAACAGACTTAAATTAGATTTTTAGCTTTATACGAGTATATTTTGATAAAGATGATTCTGATATGGTGCTTATCCTTCTGAAACCCAGTCTTCTATTCTGTTTCTGATTCCAGAAACAATCATATTATCATCGGAAGTCATGTCCTACTCCTAAAAAATAGAACTAGAAGAGAGGTAGAGGGTTCATTTCATCCATCCTTCTTCCTCAAAGCAGGATAATATATATCTGCACTATTCCTAGTACACATTTGTCTAACTTAATCATTAAGACTTCTAATGATGGAGCTTTTACAGTATCTCCAAGGTAATCCATTCAAGCGTCTGGTTATTCTTAACATTATCATTTTTTCCGCTGTTTGTTTAAATAGCCCTTGCTACATTCTCTGTAGCCAGCCTGTAATACTCTCTCTTTAATATTTTTTATAGGTTTGAGGTCTGTTACCAACCCTTGATCAGCAATCTCTTAAACCGTAGCAACTTAAGCATTTTACTTATTTTTAATCCAGAGCATATTAGCATCTTACTCTTTAATAACAGGAAATTTCAAACCCATTAATTGCAATCTCTAAGTTACTCTATTATCCAGATTTTCACAACAATTAGCTCTTATAGTAATACAACACTTGCAATCACTGACATATAACCAAATACACTTTTGTTTCTAGGTGAAAAGTTTAGAGAACTAATGGATAAGTTCCTGAGGGTTAACTTCAGTAAAGGCTGTCCACCCTTGTTTACCACTTTGAAATCTTTATATTACAATCCAGAAAAGGTAAAATTTAGTATTTACTTGGTTTTAATGAAGTCTTCTATATTGAATTTAATAGATTATCTAATTGTTTTTATAAATTTTCCTGTAATTTACCAATAACTTACTGAACACTTTTCTCCTTCCTGTGCTATTTTGTCATATGTGAATGATCAGCTGATGATACTAAACGTGTATGAAACTCAACTTCTGTAGACAGTTGATGTCAAAATGCTTGAAGTCACATTGGTGCAGAATGCACTGAAGTTTTTGAAAAATCAAAGAAACAAGTAACTCTTTTTGTGTCGGAGTGCAAGTGTGTCAGGATTCTTTCAGCTTATGGTTTATGATGTCACCAGAAGTCATGATTTTAAAATCACACAGATGGCTATTGTTCTATGTACATTTCTGAATTTCATTAATACATTAGTATTTACCACAAAGGCTTGTTTCCCATTTCAGTATTTGGCTAAAACTTTAGTGTTTAAGTTTTGCACTTCTGAACTCTGACAGTTTTAGCAAAACTGTCACATTAGAACTGCTATTTCAAATATAGCTCTTCATCCCAAGCATGTCAGTAAGGTGTAGTAAAAATAAATTTTCAAACTAAAGCATGTTATTAAAATATGTAGAAAATAAAGGTCAGTGTATTCACATGTTGCTGTCTTTGCTACAAGCAGTAAAAACTCTGAATATCTCTTCCATTTGTAACTTGGTAAGAAGAGTTTTTGTAGCTGGAAAACCCCTAAATAGATGGTGCAGCTTTTAAGCAGCAGTGGATATTCCTTTAACTGGGCTAAAAATATTGTTCTTTTTAAGAGCCTCCTTGCTAGTTGTCCTAATATGAAAATCTCAATACACTTCTTTTTGGAGAACGTGCTCTGTACTGTGTCTCCATGGTTGATATGATTTTTAGTAAATTCTGATTTTGCGTATAAGCTTTTCTACAGTGCTTATTGCTAGTGTATACTTTTCAGTATAAACTTTTGAAAATTGATTGAAAATTTAAAAAATCGTGATGCCCTTACTGTACAGAAGTACAGTCTGTGCTGTGCAAGTTTCACATCTGCTATTTGATGTATGAAAATCTAGAGGTTTAAGGATACAAAAACTTCACACTTAATTGTTTTTTATGTGAGGGGTATAAAAGATGAGAACAATGTTTTAGTGCAGCCTTATCCAAAAAGGTGCCTTGCTGCTGGTTGTCTTTGTTGTACCAAATCAGTGCTGCTCAGAACTGCCAGCTTGATCATGAAAAGTAGATAAAGTTATAATCAAGAGCTTCACAATTTTCAAATGTACTTGGATTTATTTACAGCTAACATCTGCAAAAGCATTTTCTTTTTCTTTCTTGTTCTAGTCTCCCTAAGAAGGTCTCTTTAATGTTTTGCTTGATAGAGTTTTCATGTAACTATAGTATAACAGAAAGATCTTTGAAACTATGAGAAACTTTAATTTTGGTCTCTGACAATGAATTTTAGAATTGCTGAAATGTAGGGATTAGAGGGGAGCAAGGTGTGGCAAACTATTGTGTGCTACACCTTTCAGCAAAATGTACTTTTGTGTTTAGCTTGTCTGAGTCGGTGCTTAATATCAGCTTCTCACATGAATAAGAATTATAGTCCAGATCATGTTATGCATAATAGAAAAAAACATAGGAAATTATTGCATTCTCTACAATCTGGGAATGAACAGTTTCCTGTTTATTTCTGTGGAAACTAGTATAATTTGGTGTAGTCAACTGGAGTTGAATTTGGAAGTAGCATAGATAAGAGGATTTTATGAAAGAGTTGGTATTTAAGCCTAGACAGTTCCTTCTTTCTGGAACTCTGAGTCCAGGGTCTTCCATAAGCCACAGCTTCAGGAAAAAAAAAAAGGTGAAATAAGCAATATCTGTGTTAATATTTGCATGTACTTAGACAAAAAATAGTGCTGCAATATTTTTACATAGGAAAAAAAAATGTAAATTAATTTAATACCTGCAAGGATACAAAGGAGTAGAGAGGAAGGTGGTGGTGGATATGGAGCTTTACTTGCTCAGTAAAGATGAGGACTAACATATCTCTTAACATTTTGATGTTAAGAACATCTTTTATACCAGAGTCCAAGATGTAAAGAGTAGCTGATTCTAGAGGAAATTTCTCCCCTATGTTTGGAAAGGGCAAACAAAAAGTGGTTGTATAGGAGGCAAATGTTTGGCACGTGTAGAGGAAAGTGTTTGTTAACTAACTGCTGGAAGTTGATACTTCATAGTAATGCTTTAAATAAAAATAACTGGTATATTTTGATCTAAAACCAGATTCTAGCTTACTAACAGTTAGAAGCTTAGACATCTACCTTCAGGTTCACAGAGCTGCAAAGCTCTAGGACTTGCCCTGATCAAACTAAAGACCTTTCAGGGTGGTTTTAGAAACTCTTCAATATTTACACTGCATAGAAAGACTCCAAATACTAAGGTTGTAGGCTGGAGTTACACTTTGTGTTCCAATACAGACATTGATGTACACATTTGTATGCATCTGCTGTACTTGTGGAAATAACATCAGAAAATAAGGTGGGAAAAACTCTGATTTTTGGTCCTCTAAACACAGAGGAGTGTTTAGCAGTGTTTTATGGCCATAGTATGTTTGCATTGACCTGATGAAAGATCTTGTAAGCTAATGAGGGCTTTAAAATGTTAATTGCTCAACAAATGAGTAATCAAATCAACTGAGACTACACTGGAATAATTCTTAGTTTACAAGTTGGCCAAACACTACATTTAGCTTTCTTCTTTCAGTTGCACTAAGTTTTGTTCTTAGAACGGTTTGACAGAATTCCTCTCTGGTACTGTCTACATGTTACACCAAGTTGTCTTAGGGAGAGTAGAAGTGTGTCTAATATTTGACTGAATTTCCTGTTTTGTTGTTTGAAATCTTATCTGAGACCTCACTGGAGATCAGTAAGCTGTGTCTAAATAAAGGACTCCAGACAGAGCATGTAGTCTTATTGCAGTTTTAATTCTTCCAGGAATAGGAGAAAAACCATAGATTTATCTTTGTATAACTTATCATAAAGGCTGTATTGTGCTCCTCTATATTCCTGCTTCCAGGTTACAATTTTCAGAGTACTTGATTAATCAGAGTATAGTTCTTCTATCCTGACAAAATAAAAAAATAGGCATGACTGCAACTGGCAATCCAATAAAAATGTCTGCAGTAGTAATCTTTAGCTCTGTTTTCTTGGTTCTTTTTTTTTGTGTAGATGAATTAATGTAGGCAGGTGTGTGTTGCGATTTCAAACACTTTCATTTTGGTTGTTTGTCTCCCAAATTATCTGGAACATGTTTTTAACAGTCAAGGAATTACTTCAATTTCCAGATTCAGGCATGTGAATTTAGGTCAGTTGGCACAGAGAACTGTTCCGCTAACCATCCTACGTGGTTTCCTACACAGGATGAGTTGAACAGTTACCAAGGCTGCTTTTGTGCTAGAAAAAATCTTATGTATCTGTTTTGATTGTAGAGAGAGCACAGGCACCTGTATTACAGTTATCTATGTAGAGAAGTCTGAACCTGAAGGTATCTACTGTGTCTCCCATCTGTTTTGCTGGGCTGTGTTTAGAACTGTTTATACTTGTTCCTGAAGTGCCTCTTGTATGAGGTATTTCGTATCTGTGAAACTGTAATATTGAGCAGATTTTAGCAGTTGCTTCTAGAAAGAACTAAAGAAAAAGACTGAAGTGCAAACTGGGTGAACACGGTGTCACTTTTTCAGCTACCTAGTTGGAATTTGTATACATACTTGTGCAAATACTAAGTGGAGAAAGGTGTGGAGTACAATTGCAGTGTGCTGAGGTGGTCAAGAAGGCCAACAGCATCCTGGTCTGTATCAAAAACAATGTGTCCAGCAGGAGGAGGGAAGGGATTGTGCCCCTGTGCTCGGCCCTGTTCTGTGTTCAGTTCTGGGCACCACAGTATGAGAGACATTGAGGTCCTGGAGCGTGTCCAGAGAAGAGCAACGAGGCTGGTGAGAGATTTGGAGGGCATATTGTATGAGGAGAGGCTGAGGGAACTGGGATTACTTAGTCTGAAGAAGAGAAGGCTCAGGGGAAATCTTCTTGCTCCCTACAACTGCCTGAAGGGATGTTGTAGGGAGGCTGGGGTTGCTCTCTTCTCCCGGGTAACTAGCGATAAGATGAGAGGAAATAGGTTTAAGTTGAGCCAGGGGAGGTTTAGGTTGGATATTAGGAAAAATTTCTTTACTGAAGGACTGGGGAGGCATTGGAATGGGCTGCCTGGGGAGGTGGTGGAGTAGCCATCCCTGGAGGTGTTCAAGAAGTGTTTAGATGTGGTGCTTCAGGATATAGTTGTGGTAGTGAGATTACGGCTGGGCTTGATGATCTTGAATGTCTTTTCCAGCCTCTAATTCTATGATTCTTCACTGAAGAATATGCTTTACTTTGGTTAAGGAAGAATGATGTTTGTAGTTTTCCTTCACACTTAGAGCTGTTTTTTTAGAACATTTTGGTGAAGTCACAGCAGAGTGCCTTAAGTGGGGAAGACATAGTATGATAATGCAAAGCTATTTATTTTGTGGGTAAAAAAAAACCATAAATGTTTTTTAACTTAAGATGGTTAGTGTTGGAAGAGACTTTTTTTGAGTAACCAAAAGTGTGAGGATTTGAAACCTGTTCAGTAAAGAAAGATTACATGTAGCTGCTTTGCTCTTTTGGCATTCAGAAAGGTAAAAATCTTTCCTAAGAAAGAAGTCTCTAATGAGTTATAGTATGCTTTATATTATATTATGCAATCAGCTTTCCCTGAAATTCTGAAGCCGAAAAAAATCCTGTACGTGTTTGCCTTGTGTTCAGGTTGCAATGTGCAGAGTTTTATGTTTGACTGCATTACTCAATTGAAAAGGAAAATGTTCAAGATTTGTGAACTGCTTGAGACTTGAGAAGGTGACAGATGGTATGATGAAACCTGGGATAAGCAGGTTAGCTGGGTGTTTCATTGTTTAGTTAGCAATACTGTTTGTTACCTT